GAAATAACGACGGTACCACAAACTCCCAGTCACGAGACAGTATAGAAAAGTTAGTTTTTCTACATTGATCCGGCCGTGGATCGAACCCTAGACCCCAGATATAGCGACACCATGAAACCCGCAGGCTTATTACCGATCTTTAGCGACCAGTCGTTTTAGCAATAGTTCCACGATTATCGCTGTCAAAACATAAATTCGTATTACGGAACGAACAATTGCGATCAGTCGACTACAGTGCCTCTAGCGAGCAACTAATAAACTAAAACTGCATGAAAATGCTTTGACAGAAAGCGACTGGTTGCTTTTTCGTATTACCGAACGACATTTACAGCGACGCAAGAGCAATTAGCGACGGATTTTTGACAACTAGTGCCACAGTGGTTGTTTGGTGATTGTTGATTGATTGCTTTTTCAAATTACATTGTTATTTCATCTCCTTAATCGTAAGTAACAACTGATTTGACTTAAAAATAGTTATTTATTGATTGTAAGCCAAATGACCACAGAGGTCATCAGAAATATGTTGCAATTAAACGTTATTATTATTTATTACAATTATGCATAAACAATTCGTTTATTACACACTGACAAAAAAGCCGCAGCCAAACTCGTTCTTCACTTGAACGTTAGAGGGAAAATCTCCACCGAAAGGTGACGCTGCTGTCGCGTAGTACCAGTCGTGGTCACAGGCGGCGGCGCCTCTTTTCACCCAAAATATTCTGGTTAGCCAACACATGTATATTACCATCGTGTTCAATCGTTTATACTATAGTAAGATAATAGAAAATAAACGAAATGATGACCACATCAAAAGCATATTTATATAAAACTGTTGTCGCTCTCTCAGGCGCTTGTTTCCAGAAAATTTCTATGTTTTGGACAATAAAAATTACTATTTTTCAATACTATTATTCGCTGCATTTTTAACTTTGAAACAAGTGTGCGTAACTTAGAATTTTAACAGTAAAAATACTATTTATACATAGATTCAGAATGTACACCACGTTCTATATTGTAAAAACTTTTGTATCGATCAGTCAATGTAATCGATCGATTATACTTTTCTACGTAACGTCATTATTCATGAACTGTCAAAAACATGTGACTGTATTAGAGAGTCGGATAAAGTCATAAAGTTCTTTTTTTTTGCGCGGCAAATTATAATGGTTTTGTTTAGCTTCATACTGCAAAATTGGTTAAGTTTTTGTGCCCGTAGCTACTGTTCTTTACATTTGCTACTTATTACGTTCAAAAATACGTTTTTTGTGAAAAATCGAAGAAGTTACAATTATCTTGTGATATTTGTTGCCGCAATGAGCAAATTGCAATCTAGAGGTTAAACTAAATTCGCTCCATACTATGCAATACCCAAAACATGCCTAATTCTACTAGGAACTAAAGCTGGGACATCTGTGTTTACAAGTATTTCCGAATGTAAAACAAATGAAACTACAAATGTTTGGTTAAAAATCTTTATTTATAGTAGCTTAATTCTTAAAACAGGAAATTAATACTCAATAAACAATTTAACCATTTGATTTTTATTAAGTAATAATCTTTAAAACATTGTAGGTAAATGTACACTAAACTATAATTGATTGACTTCGGAATTTGTACGTATTAATTGTGTATTTTAAAGACTGGGGCTGAACGTACAATGTAAAATGTATTGGAAATACACGTCTGGCCTAATAAAACATTCGATTAAGGGTTCCACAAACAGAAGGTAAATCGGACCGGTCCTACCAGACGCCAAATCTCAGCTTGTATGTAGCAGAACCATCCCATAGATGGCAACATGTGACGATGTGACCTCCTCACATCGTCATCCCACCTTTTTATCGCCTTTTCACCGGTTCCTGGCTATTTGTTTTTAAATTTTGAATCGTTCTTTAATTCCTTTGCCTCGCCATTTTGTTTTTGTTTCGTTCCATCGCCACTCCCTGCTCGATCGCGGCAGCAAACAGTACTGCTCTAATTTTTAATTGCGTCTAATTTTGATTCTTTTGCCAGTTTTAATAGATACCAATCTGTAATAACCATTACTAATCATGTGCCAAGTTTAATACCAATCTGTAATACTGTATAACTCGGCCCTTTCGGAGTAAGTCTGTCTCACGTTTAGTATTTAAGTAGGGAGTGTTTTGTAGCATTGTTCCTGTTTTTTATAAATACCTTTTTTGTTACAGCCTCTTTTTTTCCCCTTTCAATTTAATTACGAATAAATTCTTTGCGGACCGAAGTATACTATTTTTATTGCGAGAACCTGCTCACGGCTCATTAGGGTTTACAATCTTTTCAAGCAGTACTTCATGCAGTTGAAGCAACTATAACGCCTCACCTTGGAAAGGATGTCAAGCTTCCTGGCTACATTTTTGGCTACAGATAACCTGCATCTGCTGAAATTCAAATTGGACGACAGGTCCATTACAAATTTTGCCCTTTCTCCCGTAGCCGAAATCGATTTTGTTGTGAGATCTGACCATTAATTTATTGTGGTTAAAAATTTTCAAGATCTGTGTCCAGCCCTAGAGCATCAAATCTCACAACCCATATTTGTCGACTATTAACCCGTTTATAACAGTGTTTGTCAAAAATGAAATTATTTTTCGGATATACATGGATATAAAATATGAAAATCTCGTGGCGTGACCGGGTTATAAACGTAGAAGTACTCAATAAACTGAAGAGAAAAGTGGAGCTTATGAACACCATTAAGTGCAGGAAGGTGTCGTACTTCGGCCACGTCATGAGGAACAATAAGTACAAATTACTCCAGGTCATCATGTGTGGTCAGTGTTGGTAGAAGGCGGCACTCCTGGTTGAAAAATTTAAGGGAATGGTTCCGCTGCAGTACCATCTTGCTCTTATGAGCGGCGGCCTCTAAAGTCAAGACTGCCATGATGTTGTCCAACCTCTGATAGCAGACAAAACTACAAAAAAAATGATCTCGTGTAGATACATTACAGTAGTACAGTTTAATTACGACAAAGAACCAGGTAACACAACTCAATTGTAGCGTATATCGCGTACAGAGAAATTTCTACGACTCCTGCACTAGGCAAAGCCTGTCTCGCAGGTAATCGATAAAAACATTGTTACTTGTTACAATAACGCTAAAGCAAAGAGAATTTTGTTAAAAACGAAATAAGTTTGTTCAAACAAATCAATGTTTCGGACTACTTATTTACAGATTCTGTGATTAATGAGTCAGGCCTGACCAGTTCAGTTCCAATGCGAAGCAATCGCGCATACTTAAGAAGTTGTTAAGTTTAACGAATTTTAAAGAACTAGTTCCTCCTATTGACATCCCAAACCTTGACAACAAAAATCTCAAATCTGTTGTCAACATGTCAGCGTCTAAAATGAAAACCCCCATTTATACAATTTTATTGAAAAGTACTTGTTTATAATACATTAATAACAACGCTGCAGCATCCGATTAAAGCATAATTTTCTATTTAAACCGCTAATTACAATAAAAATGTATGTACTAACGAGTTTTCCAGCACACCTTTTTCCTTTATTCTGATAAAGCAGATACGAGGTAATCGCTTTACAGGAACGAAACCATACCTCATTCTTTTGAGCTTCTAATCTGTAATTAGTGGTTTCGCTGCTAATTTGCAAATAACTGTTTTCAATGACAGCTCGTATGACGTGTTTTAAACATTCAGTCCTTGTTCGTCATATCGCAAAAAAATCGGTGGCGCTTTACGACGTAACTATCCTTATTTTCAACTCATTTTGAGCAAAAAGTAAACAAACCCCTTCGGTAAAATCGGTCTACTTTCCCCATCGGTCCATTTGTTTTTTTCCGATTCGTCCTTTTCCCATTTCGTCTACTTTCCAGATCGGTCCACTTGTCCATATGGTCCACTTTTTAAGCAAGTAAATCAATAAAATTTCACAAAAAAAACCTTTTACAAATTTTCAAAGACAGTTGCAGATTGTCATGGAGTACATTTTTTAACATTTTTAATAATGATGGCCGCTTTACGTTAATCATGATTTGAAAAATCAAAATCAAGTAGACAGTTTTTAACCGACTTGAAAAAAGGAGGAGGTACTCAATTAGACTGTATTTTTTTCTATATATTTTACGCGATAACTCTGATTATTGGTGAACCGATTTTAATGGTTCGTTTTTGTTGGAAAGAGGGTCCCTCATAAGTGATCCAATTTAAATTTTGTGTTAAATATTCCACAATAAGGCTGGCAAACTAGGGGGTCACTCCGGTTTCCCGCACTTTCCAGTAACCGATTTGAATAAAACTTGACAAATAGATGTAATTCCACAAACGTCGGTTTTTTTAGTACTTTGTACTGAGGTTATCTGAGTAGACGCATCATTAAAGTAGACCGATCGGGAAAGTAGACCAAATGGGAAAGTAGACGAAATGGAAAAGTAGACCAAACAGGAAAGTAGACGAAATGAGAAATAGACGAATCGGGAAAAACAAGTGGACCCATCGTGAAAGTAGACGAATAGTGAAACTGGACCGATCGGGAAAGTAGACCAATTGCACCGAAGGGAAACAAACAAGTCACTGACCCAACCACAGACGGTTTAGTGATGTCCAATTGTAATGCCAACAATTCGTTCAATTGAGTCTACTAGCGGTTTTCCTTACGTAACCTATAAAAGCATATCTGAAATTTCCGAAATCTTAATTTTTAAATCCTCATTCAAATCCTTACACAGATACTCATTGGATTGCGATTGAAATATTCGATTTATTAATCGACAACACTATGCAACCGTAGACAAGTCATAGTTGTATAGTTGAGAAATAACCTCACTTTTGGACTACCATTTTTCAAATACAGCTTTACGATGATATTCATATGAATATTGTTGGAAAAAGTGATGAGATATCAAGTAGAAATCTTCAAAATATACGTGAAAGTGTTACTTATTCGAGTTATTGAGTGATTGCTTTAGAATTTTAACCAAACACTTTTGTTTGCTTTTTGTTCAAAATGGAATGGAACAGACTTTAATTATAATCAAAATCAACAACGTAAGTTTTAATTTGCTTCGCCTTAAGGCGAATCAACAAGCCGTCATCATGAATATCTTCGTCTTCGTCATTAGACTTTTCCACGTTGTTAAATTCTCCATATGCTTCATTAAAGTTCACCGAAAATCCATTCTCTTTGTTCCAAGACCACTTCCTCTTTTCATCTACCCACAAATTGGCAGCTAACATCGTTTCACTCGCACGTTTAACTGTTAGATCTTTAAATATCGCATCTAGATTGACCTCTACTGTAGTGTTCTCCTGATCTCCGATCTCCAAATAGTTTTCCAGCCTCAATAATAAAGACTTTTCTCTCCAAGGCTCAACTGTTAGTAAATGCACACCTTTGGGCAAACTATGAGCCCAAGAAAACGCCTTGTTAGGCAACTGCAACCAATCTTGCAGACTGAATTTAGTTGCATCAGCT